CTCCATGCATGCTAAAAGCAACGTTTACTGGGTCGGCCAGTCGAGACGGTTATGTTGTAGGCATCAGGCATGATAAGAGGAAGCCCTCAGAGCTTAGTCATTAGCGCACTGCCTTGAATCTGATTTAACAGGATGACTAATCTCATCCAAGTCACTGGTTCGTCAACAGGAGACAACTCCAATGAGGAGAATATCCGGTCACAGCCTTATTTTTATCCCGATGAAAAGTGACAAGAGGAAGCTGACAAGAGGGTGGGCGGGCAGCGTAACGGCAGCTCCATGTGTGTGTATGTATACTGTGTATGTATGTGTGTTTGTGTGTGTGTAATAGATATCTGCACACCATGCTGAACGTCATTTAGCATGAATGTGTTACCACTGGCAGAAAGCCACCACCACAAAAAACCTCCATGTTTGTAAACAACATTGTGTCAACACGCCGGTTGTAGAAACACCCTAATATCTGAAGTGTTCGGAGAGGAAATGGAATCAATCAGAGCTAATTCATGGCAGCTGTGATGAAAGGGACATGGGAGAAGTACTACCACAAGCTGCTGCAGGGTCATATTTTGAGTTTCAAACACAATGTCACTCCTTAAGTAGAACGGCTCATGTGAGACCCATCGATACAGTGTCATCATTTCTTTGTTGATGCATGGTACCAAAAGGAATCTGCAGGGTAAAGCTACAAAAGAAAAACGTACAAATGTCACAATTCATCATTTTGATGACAAACAATGTTGCTCCTCTTCAAACTCAAATCCCTTGCGATGTCTTCTGGGAAACCACAGTGGAGCAGTTTGGGGGTGAAGCCTCATACTCAAGGACACTTCAACAATTTGTGGTTGCGTGATATCATGTTATGGGCTTCAGGCTACTAGCACATTAAACTCTCTAATGACATGCAATTATAGTCCATGTCAACAAAGCTGGCATGCACACACTCACAGAACTGACATGCACAGTATAATGAAGTAAATATCTTACAATAATAATACAACCAATAGTTTACTATTTCTTAAAGCATACAGTATCAGAATCAGAATCTGCTTTATTGGCCATGTACATAAACACACAGGGTTGCAAATTAGCCACGGCAAGAGACCTGTATGCATGGCACCTACAGAACTTTATTTTTTACATATCAAATAAACAAATAAAAAATACAAGGACTTCTTCATGTTTTGTGTCTATACTGTATATGATCTAATTCCTTGACCAAAGTGAATCATTTTTACAGGTGGTATATTTGGGGATCCTCTAAGGAGGCATCAGTAGATGCAAGCCCTTAATGTGTCACAGAAATGTTGTTATATCACTGAGTGACTCTATGGCTGAGAAAACGCTACATATAGAAGTTAGCTAACTCTCCCTGAAGGATTATGGAAGAGATTTATGACGTGTTGGACCAGACTACTGCTGTAGTGAAAGTTCAAGTCACACTCCGCAGCTTTTTAAAGTGAGGCATCATGATTGGATTACCTCCCCTTTGACATGTTTCTATATGATCTGCATGGCAAGTGAGCTATGATTTTATTTATTTATTTATTTATTTTAAACTAGAAACCAAACAGAAATAAACCCAGAAATGAGAGAAAAACAACTAAAGATTCGAGCTGTTGTGTCCCTGCTTTGCATTGTTTTTTCCATTTTGTTTGTTTGTACACATGTTCGATTCTTTTGTCTTGTCCTGAATTCCTGAAAAGATTTTTTCACCGCAGCGGGAACATGAGAAAAGATTCAAATTTTAATACTTGTTCCCCACAGTATCACTCTGAGGCATTAAACCATGCAGTACAGTTCACTGGGGCTGTATTCAACACTTCCAGAAAGAAGTGTCCTCTGCGTGACTTTTTACTGAGCTGAGGAGGAAATGAAACTCAAACAATAACATACCAAATGAATTTGTGTGGGAGTCTATTTAAAGCTTGCAGATACTTGTGAAATATGAGTAAATTAAATCAGCAGTGCCCCTCGGGAGGACATGGGGACATCACAGGCCTGCAGCTTCTGACATGTCAGAGAGGCAGATCCTACCGCGCAGCTTATTTAGAGTGGCAAGGAACACCAATGGTATGCAGTGATGGTAAAAATTTCACAAGAATCCTGCCATGACATGCTGATAATGGCAGGGAAAATGGTTAATTACATTGAGTTCATCTACCGTCAAATTTCAAGGACAGGATAGTAAAAAAAAATAAAAAAGAATTAAAGTATAACCGCAGAAAGACTGTTTAGTTTCAAATGTCCTCCTCGGTTGTGCATGCAGGTGACTCGACCAAAGCTAGGTCAGTGTTACCAAAATATATTCAAATGGCGATGAGATGCACACACGTTTTCGGAAGTGTAGCTGTCAATAGGAAAAGTCAAAAAGTCATTCAGGTGGTGAGATCTCAGCGACAAGTTATTCTGCAGTGACGGATGACATTTCTGTGAGGTTGCATCTGGAGTACTCTGGCACTGAGGCAAAGCTGGCCTTTCACTCCGTCTGCCTAGCTAGCAATCATCAGCAAACCTTACACACACTCCTCAACACGCACACACCACCCACGCAGGCATAAAACATGTAAATGGCAGCTGCCTCCTTGAGTGTATTCTCCCTGTCCTTGTGCTATTGTCTTGCTGGGTTTTTTTAGATACAATGCGCTAGTTCAGTAGACAATTCTGCTTGTTTTTTCTTCCTCTTTTTTATTACCTTCAATCATTTTCCTCCTCTCTGCTCTCCTTCTCTGCTGCTTTATTGCACAGGCTGAACATGAGACAGCACATTGTCAGTGTGTCCACTCTATTCAAATGAAAGCAGGACTTTACTTCTTGTATCGCTTCCTTCATTTTGGACTCAGGAGTACAGCAGCAGGCATGCATAGAGGCACAGGGTGGCAGGGGGAGTCTCCCAAAGTGATTTCATTTGAACTTTTCCTCTCTTTGAAATGGCATCACAGAGGCCCGGCATGATTAATGTCACAACACTTTTATACACTGTTCTACAAGGGTGCCAGCTGAATATTTGAAAACCAAAAAAACTTTTCAGAACACCCGTGGGCAGGTCTGGGGTTGCTGTGGTTTGATTGCCAATCTGCTGCTATTCAACCTTTCCAATTGTCCATGTTATATCATCCACTCAGGTGAACGCACCCACTAAGTGGCGTTTCATTTTGACAACGTTGAACAACCATGCTAACTAATGGATATCTATATACAGTGATGTTAAAATGTGAATGTGAAATAAGGAGGGAACATTCACACTAAAAGAAAATTAAAATGTAGCTTTCATGTGATCCTAAGCGATCCATCATGCATTCAGCATGAAAAGAAAAACAAGCAAGTTATTGGTATTATCAAAATTGTTATGATTTTTTTAATTTACCTTTTTCTGTGTTTGCTTGTATTTATATTTCACTTAAAGGACTTAAATCAGTGGTGCCACATGAAGTGACACATTACCAACACGTGAATGATAACGTTAATATAATTGTATTGATAAAATAAAACAATCATTATCCATCACTAATAATGAAGGCTCTGTGGTAAGAGGCTAGAGCACAACCAAAATAAGAACATATTTCTATTCGTTGCCCTGGTCCACTCTAATTGCTTTTATAGTTTAAATGTAAACCAAGTGAGAACCTTCCAATCTCCCAGTTGAAATGTTTGAATTTAACTCTTATCCATTGAATAAAACCTTTTCTAATACACTTGATGTTTTTTTTCCCTCTTATATTTGATCCTCTTTTATGTACTTCTTTTTGTACTGATATATCGGAGCAACCTGGCACAAGAATGTCCTTCCAGATTATATGATAAAGTTTTATCTTCTCTTCTCATTAAATACTTAAACTCTCGATTCTGAGATTAAACTGGAAATGTTAAATTGAACTGTGATAATAAGTTTAAATTCAAAAGAAACCAACATCTCTACAAGTAGGAATAATGTAACAATAGCATAAGAGCATTAAAATTCTTACCTAAACGTTATTTTGAGTGGAATGTATCTGAACTCAAAATTCTGCGTGAAAAAACAAAGTATTTTGACACAAGTTAAATACTGTGAGGACCAGTTATGTTTAATCTCTTACACTGTTTTTGGGCCTGAATTTACTTAAACTTGATGCTTAGATTCATGACATCATCATCAGCGCTCAATGCGATTTAACATCTGTAATCTGACCTTGCTCACTGATTGAAAGTACTCTTCATAGAGACACTAAACCTTGGTTATTTTTAGGAGAGATACTTGGAATAATACAGCTGTTTATTAGAAAGCACCGACTCTCCATAAAGTAGTTCTGCTCGTGATTTTCTCTTATTTTGTCACTGACCGCCCAAAGCAAGCCTGACTGTCCCATGTTCCCTAAAGTGTCTTCATGTTGACTCCACACTAAGACTTCCGATGCTTCACTTTGCACATTTTACCTCTGAGACTGAACAACAAGATCCATCTAGCCAGAGCAATGGGACATTTTCCTAATTATTGCAGCAATTATAATCATGATTGTGTAGCAGCGATGCCTCTCTGGGCTCTGTGGTCCCACTGCTAGCTAGATGGGCACACAGAGCGGAAATGCTAATCAGTAGCCTGGCTTCTTCAACCTATTGGTGACTGGGCTACAGCAAAGGAGCCTCTTCACTCCTTTCAAGGGTGGATGTAATCAGAAACAGCATCCAACCATATTTTCCACCTAGGGGACAGAGCTCTGCAAACATACTCAAGAGTATCTCCCCAGCATGGGAATACCGTTTGGATATAACTGGTATAGGAAGTGAAGCCCCATGTGTTTGACAAGATTCATCTAATAATATGATTGTATGATTGTCACTCAATGGGATTTTCTAAGTGTTTTCTCTGTCGCTGCTTCTCTGTCTTTTCCTCTCTGAGTGTTGACATCAAGGGGATCTAGTTTGCCAAGGACAACTTAAATTAGCGCTGATCATACAGGAGAGTGGGAAGTATCAGCAGAGCAACACAAAAGCAGTAAAAACAGTAGCATGCACTTTCCTACCTCTTCCCATTGATGGATGTAGCGAATGAGTCTAGAGAGACGCAGGAGTCGCAGCAAGCTGAGAATCTTGGTGAAGCGGACAATCCGCAAAGCTCGTGCCGTCTTGTAGAAATCTGAGTCAATCCGTGTCTCCACGATGAGGAAGATGTAGTCCACAGGGATCGAGGAGATGAAGTCCACCACAAACCAACTTCGCAAGTACTTGACCTTGATCTGTTGCGGATCCAGGATGATCTCCGTGTTGTCTTCCTTGACGATTCCCGTCCTAAAGTTGAGGACCAGGTCCATGAGGAAAAAGGTGTCAGAGACCACATTGAACACGATCCAGGGAGGTGTGTGCTCGTCTTTGAAGAATGTGATGCCAACAGGGATGATTATGAGGTTTCCCACCATCAGCAGCAACATGGTCAAGTCCCAGTAAAACCTTGGGGAAAAATAGAGAAAGAATGCTATGGTCAAAATGTATGAATTATTTCTATTAGCAACTCTAAGGGCGCGGTCATGCTGGCCATCTGTACCGTGCTGAACTCAAGCACGATTGCCCCCCCCCCATTGCGCCATTCCCATGCTGGCCGGCATACTGGCCAGGACTAACCGTGCCTAAAAGCACGATTACCTCTTGTACATAACGTTGTAATACAACACATGCACGCTTTATGTTATGAAGCGTCCATGCAGACGCCTGCACATCGGAGAACAACACAGAGAACAGTTACTTTGTGGCTCATATTGTGTCATTTTAGTTAGATACAACCATGAAACTCTGGATTTCTCCATAATGAAGGCTGTCAGGGTTGTGTACCCGCGTGCTTGTGCTCGTGCATGAAGTGTACCATGCCGAAGCACACCTCTCCAAAGTGTACCAAAGCCAAGGAAGTGTACCGTGCCTGAGCACGATACGGAGCGATCACACTGGCCAAACAAACTGGACTTTAGCGTTGAAGCATGCTTGGGCACGGTACGGATGGCCAGTGTGACCACGCCCTAACACTTGCAAAATCCTGCCTAGTTTATGGTTAAACTTATACTACTGTGTGCTTTGAAAAGTCTTTTAATAAATTGTCACCAACTTGCTGCATTGAAAAACACGTTCCAAGAAATCAAGACAGTTTCCAATCTTTTAAATAAGATGTGAAAACTATAATAATGTTAATAATACGGTCCATTCCCTATAACTCAAAACCATCGCAAAGTGACCTACACTAACAATAATAAAGTCATTGGAAACATCAATAGAGCAATGACTTGTTTTCATCTGCACAGGAAGGCTTTTCTCACAGAGACTTGGATAGGGCAGGTAGGAAAAGTGTAAAAACGTTTAAAAGTCGATGATGGCGAAATTCCAGTTGTAGGGACTTAGCTTCTAGACACTTTTAAAAAGCCATTCGAATTTTTGTCAAGTCTGAAAAAGTAAAATACAATGTTTACTTGCGTTCACATTGTTGAACTATTACTGAAGTGTATCTTCCTTATTAGTCTAACAACCTATACTGTACTTACATAACCCCCTAATGCCAGTGATGCTTATCATTGAAGCTATTTGTGTTTGACTATATCACAGCTCACGTCAATGAGATTAACAGTTAATTACAAACTGTACTGGATCTTGTCCATCTTCCAGGCCTCAGAGTTTGGATAAAATGCACCCTCTCCTGGCTCTGTAATTCAGTTCAGATCAGTCCATTTGTGTGATGATGGGTGATATATCTTGGATGCTCCATAGATTGCACCATAAGCAAATGCATGCAATGTCACTGCTTCAGTAAGCTTGATGATTTAAGCCACCCACCTTTAAATAGGCCACAAAGATCTATCTCTGTGCAGAACCAATTTCAAGAGCAGTGCTATTCGAAATAACAAAGAAAGGAAAGGAATGCATAACTATGTACCTATAGTTAGAGATATTTGTAATGGAATCCAGCTAGATTAATCAAGTAATTAATTACTTCTCGGTCACTTCCTTGTTGCAGCTGAGTTCTATAGATTTCATGTTGTCGAAGTAAAAACTTGTGGCATTACAAGGAACTGCGGATCACACATCCTGATATGAAAAGACCTCTGGCCATGTCAATTGAATGAAAATCTAGTTTTATTTTTGGTACCATAGTGTCTGCCTTACAGGCCAAAACATACTGATAAAAATAACCTGCCGCTCACCAGTGTCTTCCACTTTTATCCTCGTGAGATTTTCTAGAACCCTTATTTTTCACACCCCAGAGTTTTGTTTGTTTCAACCAATGATGTACACTTTTTTATTTCATTGAGGGTAGTAAAATGGGCTTTTCTCTTCAAAGTCCTATGCGCAAGTTGTGATAAAGCAGTAAAACATGCCTATTACCTTTCTACCTTGATATTCCGTTGATGCTGCTACAATAATATTTTTTCTGCATTGCAAGAAAAATAAACTTGT